CTGGGGACCCATACTTCACATTTCTGCAATAAAACTTTGGTGTACTCAACATTTCCGGGTTCACCTAGTTGGCTACTAGACTATAAGGAATCTGTCCATTTAACCCTCTGATTATCTTCATTTTGGCCGATACTAGTTATCTTTGGGGTCTCCAGGGACCCCAGACCATAACATTTTAAAAAATTGTACAAATGTAATTTTACTCTGTTTATTAATGTTTTTACTCAACATTGTTCAGTTTTTGGAGGATTTATGATATATGTTACATTTCTATAAATAAACAAATATATATATATATATTTTTTTTTTTTTTACAATATTTACAACTTTTGTAGTTGTAAAAAGCCTATTTAAATAAATATTTATTTATTTATAAATAACAGCATTTTATGTAAAATTCACTTTCTAAAAGACACAGATTTCTAACTTTCATTAATGGGGATAACATGGATAATTTTACATGGTTTAATGGTTACATTTTGTGGAAAATGCAGTTAAAAAAAAAAAGTCACTTTAACCAATATATGTGTGTGTGTGTGGTGAGTATGATCATTTTGTATTGTGGATATTTTTTTGCATTGTTGGAAGTGTGCCATTTTATTTCTGTCTAGGCTATGTGTTGTGCATTGTTTCTGATTTTGATGATGAATTTTGTACATTTACTATGCGGGGACTCCAGGGACCCCGAAGACAACTAGTGTCACTATTTTTTTTTCACAATAACATAAAAACAGTCAACAGAATCATTCCAATTTTTTTTTTTTTTTTTTGTAGATCTAGAAAGTGTTTAGAGCCCTAAAAAGTTTCATACCATTTGGACAAAGATAACCTTTTTTTTTTAAATTAGAGGTCATTTCCAAACATTTTATTTTAATGTTTTATTTTCAAAAAAAAATTTTTAAATGTAACATTAATACGGAGCCCCCCTAGTCCCACTTTGTCAAAAAAATTTATTATAACTATCTCGTGGCCTCAAGATAAGTAACTCGTGGCCTCAAGATCCTAATACCAGGTGGAAACAGGGCCTTAGATCACACAACACAAGGACTGTGAATTGGCATCAAACGCACTATAACTGGAATTTAAAACTGTGAAGGAACAAAAAGATCAATAAATTGTTGGACAGATTTACACAGGATGTGCACTCAACATTTCTTCGCTTTGTGCCATGAACTTTTCAATGCGCACTTGCGCAGCGCGTTGCTGTTGCATTAGGCACATCATTCTGCTCCCGGGATGCGCATTAAGCGGTTTGTGCTGCTCTGTTTTGAAGCATTTCATATTATCATGGTTTTCCGGACTGAAAGATTATTTAAAGCTTATCTTGTTCTGTCATTTCTTTCATATCTTGTTGCCTCATTAAAAAGCTGCACAATAGATTTAAAATCAGCATATTTTAATTTTATATTATTTGTGTGTAAATATATAATTATTTACATTCATATATTGTTGAATATGAATGTATGAATACATGAATGTATTTTATAAGAATACAAATAGTAATTTATTTTTATTAACATGTTTAGATTTTAGAAAAATACTCTACACAAAAGATCTTTGCAATAATTACTTACTGAATTATACACCCACAGTTTTTGTGTCATAGCTTATGATTATATATTTTTATAATTTTTTTTGCTTTGCCTCTATAATGAAGTCTGTATTTAGGTGGATTCTGGATTGTTTAACAAATAAAAAAGGGACCTTTAGTATACTGAATGATACATTTTAAGGTCCTGTTTGTGATCGGCCAGTTTGATGTGATTGTTTGAGTTATTTACTGAATTGAATACATTTCTATAATATGTAAAGGTGTTAACTGTAATCTTACGCTGCAAAATTATATTTTACAAAGATTTTGTGTGTGCTTTGTTCATTATATAATTGTGATGAATTTAATCCTATGACAAAGCCCTAAAACAGACAATTAATCGTCAAAGCCCTAAATTTGGCAATTAATTGGCATAATAACAATAATTTTTTGACTATTAGGCCTAATCGTCAGCCAAATTTCATAATCATGAAGGCCAAAGTCAAGTTTTATTTTTATTGGTAAAAGTCCCTAATGTAATATAACTTAATCTACATGAAATGTTTATAAAGTTTGTCATTTTGAAAATAGCTTTTATGAAGTCCCTAAAGGGACATGGTGGAAAAAATATGAGATAGAAGGAAAAATAGCAATGTTTTTCCGTTCGCGCACAAACGCAAGATACGCTTTGGATTTTACAATAGTAAAATCTCAAAATAGTCAGGCATCTTTTCTTCAGTCCTCTAATGAGAGTAATAACAAGTTGCCCGGTCCAATATTGCAATGATGTAGACGTACGATTCGGTGGCCAATGAGGCCACTATGTGTTTTGAATGGAGAAAACCGTATCAAGGCCCTGTTATAATAACTAGTGTTGTGCGCTTTTTGAAGCACGTTTTGTGAAGCTTCGAGATATTGGCACATTGTTTGTTTCTAAGTCACGTAATTCCAGTAAGCGAGGCTTTATTACATCATAACTGTCTAGAAATGTTTTGAAATTTCAAAGATTTGTAACTAGGGGGCAATGATCTATATGAATCCATGAATCAGTGCATATGTAGGATTTTACCTGATCTCTGATAAAATATCCATTCTAGATCTCTGATAAAAATTAGTACATTTGTAGACATTTAACAAAAATGTTTCCTTTTGTTATACAAATGTGTCATTAAAAGTTTCTTATTGGATTAACCAAGCTCTCCATAAAACAAACAAAATAAGCCCAACACGTATTATACAGACACTTCATATTAAATGGTATAAGAACTAGATGATTTGAATTGCATCTGATATGCATTAACGTTTCAAAGTTTCGAAATGATTGAAATCTCCCATCACTAATTACGCCAAGTTATTTTTCGTTCTTTGCTTGGGGCTAAAAAGAAGTTCCAAATACCTTTTCACTGTTATGCTATGCTTATGTTATGAACACTTTGCATACTTTACTGTAAAACTGAAAGAAACAAAATCGCACAGCTCCATTAGCATATTAGCCGTTAGCGTGCGTTAGCTTTCAGTAGGGTTGCCAACCGTTCCGTATAATACGGAATCGTCCCGTATTTGACACATAAAAGGCTTGTTCCGTATGGAACTGATACGGAACGCACTTTGTTACGTATTTTTGAGAATCAATTCAGTGCAAATCCATGACAGAAGCATAGCTTCTAATATATATGTCAGACAGACTATGAATGAATTCGGGGACTATCTGAGGCCACGCCCGCTTGGCGGGCTCTGACGTGTAATGACGTAGAGTTGGCTCATTGGTCGCACGTCAGAGGCGCCCGCGCCATTGGATGTGCAGTTGCCGCAGCGCAGCCTATGAGCGAGCCAGACACTCAATGTGCTAGCTGTGCAGCTGCAAATGCGTTTTGCGTTTTACCAGAGCCCGTCTAACGGAGAGCCTTGGCACTTCCTATTAGCCCCATAATGTATCATATTGGTTGCAGTTCCATTAGAATTCCACTGGACGCGGGCGAGTGCAGAATGAATGGGAGTCTATGGAGCTAAACGGCTAAATGTATCTATTTCTCCTGCTTGTTGTTGAATCAACATAGATTTTATTGTTGATTCCGCAAGTTCAATATCGATTATATGCCAAAAGTCGAATGAACGAGTACGTATGTCCTTTCGATTTCTTACAGGTTAGGCCGTTGTTGGCCGGAACACGCTAGCATTCTGCTATAATGTGACGTCATCACATTTTTGAACGGATTTTTAGAACAGATAAGTGAACTTAAAAATGCAATTTTCAGCTGAGTGTATTATCTTAGCCCTCCCTTTTGAATGCAACTTTCAAATTACTTGACAAAAAATTACATCTTGAGAAAAGTGGATTTCTGGGGGTAAAACCCCATAGACTCCCATTCATTCTGCACTCGCCTGCGTGCGCCCCCGCATGGACAGAGACGTGTTACTGCAGCCAGTCCAGAAACCGGAAGTAACCAGAGAGTGGGCTTTATGCACAGCTTCACTACTTCCTGAACTTCAGCCAGCTCCTTTGTTTCCTGTCTGCCATTATTGGACAAACTGATTAATCCAGGTGTGCCTGATTATTGTTACTGAGGCCAGGCACACCTGGATTAATCAGTTTGTCCAATAATGGCAGACAGGAAACAAAGGAGCTGGCTGAAGTTCAGGAAGTAGTGCAGCTGTGCATAAAGCCAATTAGACATTCTCTGGTTTTACATAAGGCTTCAGTAAATCGAGGAAAAGGAGTTTCCGAAGACATTTGTAGGCTGTGATAATAAAAACTACAAAATTAAAAATATAATTTTTTGCACTGGAAAGAACATTCTAGAAGTCTAATTCTATTGAATAAGTTTGCACAAGGCTACAGAAAACTGTTGCGTTTATTTTTCTTCAAATGCAGTCTAAGCCAATGAGTTTTGAATTTTATATGTTGTATTTAAGTTAAAAATAAAACGTATTATAAACTAAACAAATTCATGGTTCATTGTTGGCAAAATGATCACGATAGCATTTATATATCTGTGTGGTTAAGTCTTGTATATTGATTAGGCCTACTTTGCTATTCTATAAATATATATAGGCCTAATAAGTTGTATTATAATATGCTATAATGTATGATAGCATACAATATTCACCAGAAGTCATCATTTCAGGGGTTATTTTAAAAAAAAATCCGTGGGGGGAATTTCAGAAAGTTGGCAACCCTAACTTTCAGTATCAAACATTGATCCCTAAACATCTCAATAACTACCAGCTTTTAATTTAATTAACACAAGAATACTACAGTTGTTTTCCATATAAAAATGTATCCATTAAAAACTTGTGCTGTATGCTTGTACAACAGTGTGTGCTGCAGGCGCCTAACAACCAAACTTGGAGACTTGCCTATATACTCTAGTGTATATACCTTGTCGTTCTTTTGACAATTCTTCACTCTATTTTTGTGTGAAGCATTATTTTGCTTCACTTCTGATATGATAAAAGAGACACTCTTGCATTGCATGTTTGAGAAAGTCAGTATTGCATAACTGATTTATGTTGTGGGCTATGTATAATTCCCTTTAGGGAAGTAGAATATTTGTTTCACAATTTAAGCAAATTGTTTAGATGGTTAGGTGAACAAAGGACATCCAAACAAATGTATTAACAACAGCTTAGTTGTTTAAAAGGGGAGAAAAGATGGTTTCGGATTAGTATCGATGCCGGAAGATAAAACATAAAAAGTGGCCTCAAGCCATCCCTACTAGTTAGTCCATTTGAGGGCATTAAAGTCATCATGAAATTGAAAATAATCTCTCCCATGGATGTAGTTTGGATTTGTATTTTTGTGTGTTAATTATTCTCATCTTAAACAGGAAAGAGTGTCCAAACACACAGAAAAACTCCTGGTGAAGCAGCTGAGATCCACGTGACACTATTATAAAGATGGCATTGGTTAAAGAGGAGAGTGAAGACATGAAGATTGAAGAAGTATTCACAGTGAAACCAGAAGATACCGAGGAACAAACAGGTTAGTTTTCATTCTCTGAGCTGAACTCAGTAATTTCTTATTAATATGGATTAAGGATTTTCTTGATATGTCAACCTCTACAGAAATGAATGGTATTTTTGAAAAGTGTCATGTGTATCTTAATTAAAGTGAATTTATTTGACATGAAGCGAGGTCACCTTATGTGGACAGAAATGTTGCGATCACATGACCAGACAAAAATTAATGATGCCTTCAAGTGCACCTGAGAAGATTATAAGTTAGCCATTCTTTATTATGTCATGCATTAAATTAGGAAAGATAATACAGAAGTAGTATAAACCAGTGTTTCTCAACTCAGCTTCTTATTGTGTTGAATAGGAAAGCATCTAAAACATTCTGGGAGATTGGTGCTGAGGAGTTGAGAGACACTAAACAGAATTATTTTGTGTAACATGAACACAATATCTATATCTGAAGTAAACACAATCCCTGTGTTTGAATATGCATACTTCCATACAAAAGCATCTGATAAATGTCTTATCTTGTGTCACCCTTTACATAGTAGGTGCGATTGCGAATTTGAAAGTGAAGTAAAACGCGAGCTCCCTAATGCACGCACATTAGGCTACATACAATAGCCTGTCTCACAATATCATACCTATCTCTGGCCTGTTTGCAATTTGAATATTGAGAATACTTTGATTATGGTTGCACTTAATAAGACTAAGAAAAAAAATATTTTTGTTTGTCATACTGTATTTATTGTAGTGCTGTCAGTGTTATCAACGGTGTCAATTTTTTGGCCTAGCAAACTTTTTAGTTTTTTTCACATGCTGTTGCAACAACTAGTAATGTTAGAAAAACTACAACACCACACCGGATCCAGCTACACCGAAAACAAAACAACAGGCACGCCGCACACACTTGTTTGGGCTTGCGAGCCGGCCAAAGAGTAGTAGGCTAACATTACGTTTTGAGTGGATGGCGAGCGCGAGACGCCAAAATGGATGCCAATATGATTCTGAATGGAAAGTGTACTTTTAAAAAGTTGCCAAATGGTTCCATTGACAACAGTTCCAAAGTGATCTGTGTGTTTTTGTAGTTGTGAGCTATCATCGCAGCACGTCCAGTCTGAAATACCTCTTGATGGCCAAGCACACACACAGCTGATGCGGGGGAAAAAAGCCAGCCCCCTCGTCAAAGACAGGCGACAATGGATGTTACATGTGCACTTTATAATTTTATTTTGTAACGCCCTGTTTTGATCCCTTAGAAAGGGCTGTTGAAGGGGCTGTTTGTGTGACAAAGTTTTTTTTTTTTCACCCTTATATGAATGGACAGTGTTACATTGTGTGAGAGATTATGTTGAATGTTGTATATTTATTATGTTGTGTTAAAAATCTTGTCTCGTTCTCGTGAACCCAATCTCGTGTCTCGTCTTGTCACACCCCTACTAATAACCCAATTGCTTACCACAGCTAGGCAGATTATTCCCAGATCTACTTAGCCCTACAGCCCCAATATCAGTGTTTCTACTGTCAGGCCAAAAGCGAGCGTGCTAGTGCGTGCCAGGACCAGTCACATTTCCACTGTCACTTTCGGGGCTTGATCGGGCCAACACCCATGGTTTTTGACCCTCCGAATACCTTGGTCCAAAGCGGGCCAACTGGGGCTTGTCATGAACAAAGGCAGAGTCGATTTGCATGAATGTTTAAGTGAATAAAAGCCTTAATTCAATCTGTTTATCATCAACACACACATAAGTTGTGGAAAACAGAAGCTCAAGCATTTTTGCTTGTTCTTGATCTTCAAGGTAATATGCCTGGTGGGCCGGAGGTGTTCCGTTAACTAGATCATTACTGTTGAGGAACTAGCATACATATTGTTATGTTTTATGCTTTAGTCTAAATATGTATTTTGCTTTGTGCCATTAAGGCGAAACCCTACAGGTGAATAGGGTAATTTTTTTAACTAGCAGATATCACCATGAAACTTTCCCAGTTGATTACCTACATTAAGGGCCCTTTCACACCTACCTTGTTTGGTCCGGACTTTCGGACTTTTCAGTTTGGTCCGAATCAAAATTACAGGTGTGAAACCTCCCCCGGACCACGGTCCGGACCAAACAGATGAAATTTGGTCCGACGAAAAGAGGTAGTCTCGGTCCGGATCAAACTGAACGAAAGTTTGGTTCGTTTCTAGTGTGAAAGTATTTCTGTATGGTTCGGACTTTTGGACCTTTTACAGGAAGTTCCGGTGGTTCCCGCATAGCCGAAAAAACAGAAGGTGGCAGGAAAAATGAGCCGTGGTAGCACATGGGGAGAGGAGGAGACGAGGCTTTTTATTGAAGTATGGTCTGATGACATAATAAAAAGTCAACTTGCAGTCTTCTCCTCCTTTCCTGCCGGCGACGATAAAATGTTCGCACGACGAGGACGTTCATTTGGCGAATTTGAACTAGTCTTGTGTATAGTTGGTGCTGCAGGTAATTATGCCATAAAAATAACAATATAATTGCAACGATATGCGTCTGTTCATTCATGTTGTCAAATTTACCCGCCGAATTGACAACACGCCGACGTCAGACGCACGTCCATTTACAAAACCAATCAATGTCAAGATGCAGCCCACATAAATGATGACGACAGGACGCAAGTATGTCACGCAAAGTTCTTTAGTGCGCTCGCATAATTGCAGTGTGAAACCAAACCAAAACTTTCTGAAAGTATAAAATATATCAAAACGTGAACTTTGGTTCGGACCTTGGTGCGGACTTTCAGGTGTGAAAACACCCTTAGATGAGAAACATTTTTTTCTGTCATTTTAATGTTTAAATATGTAAATTTGGCATTATCTAACTAAATATGTGCAAATTTGCATATATAAAAAAAATCTGAGTATTGGATAAAGCCAGGTTCAAACTTATTTTTTCATCGTTCACATATTAGATGGGGAAAAAATTACAGAGGGATTTGTGGATATCTACTCTTGTTATCCTGTAAATCAGAATATACTGTCAATAGCCTTAACAAATTATTTTCACCATGTTTTTTGGAATGAAATTGTTTGGTGTATATAGGTGCTACTGAAGTGGAGATTTCGGACATGGAGTATGAGAGAAAAGTCATTTTAAGAGAAAACGGCTTTAAAGATTTAGCATCAGCCAATGAGATTGCGCATTTAGAGTTAAACCCCCCCTTTTACTTTCACGATTGGTTGCTGATAAAAAGGAAATTACCATGTTTGGATCCGACAGCATTGTACAGGAGAGAGAGAGAGAGCGCTTTCTAACGGTATGTGATGACAGGGTGCAGACAGCGATCGCGGAGCAGCATGATGATTTAGAACGCCAACTTTTGATGAATTTATTAGAAACGCAAACATACAAAGTGTAGTAAAATAAAGACCTAAATGTGTATTTCAGACTTTTCTTCACCACAAGTCTGAAACCACACATTATTGAAGACAAATATCCCAAAATCTCAAAATTGACCAGTGAAAAAAAAACTGTTTTTTTTCTGCCATGTCTCACATTAAACATGGCTTAACTTGTATTTATCTTTTTCTGCTGTAGATCTGATGGCACTGAAAGAGGAGAGTGAAGTACTGAATGAAATGAAAGATCATGATTTGATAACTGGAGAAAAATCTTTTAGTGGCTCACAGACTGAAAATACTTCTTCACCAAACAGAGTTCAAAAGACAGGAGCTGGAAGTTTTTTCACCTGCTTTCAGTGTGGAAAGAGTTTCAGTCAACATAAAAACCTTAAAGTCCACATGAGAATTCACAATGGAGAAAAGCCTTACACCTGTCAACAGTGTGGGAAAAAATTCACTGAAAATGGAAACCTTAAAGTTCACATGAGACTTCACACTGGAGAGAAGCCTTACACCTGCCAACATTGTGGAAAGAGTTTCACTCATAATGCAGCCCTTAAAAACCACATGAGAACTCATACCGGAGAGAAGCCTTACACCTGCAAGCTGTGTGGAAAGAGTTATAAAGCAGAAATAAACTTTAGGTATCACATGCACATTCACACTGGAGAGAGGCCTTTCACATGTGATCAGTGTGGAAAGAGTTTTACACGTAAAGAAACCCTTAATTCCCACAAAAGAGTTCACTCAAGAGAGAACCGGTTTATATGCCATGAGTGTGGAAGGAGTTTCCCTGACTTGAAACGTCTTAATAGGCATGTAATAATTCACTCTGGAGAGAAGCCTTTCAAATGTGATCAGTGTGGAAAGAGTTTCAGTCAACATAAAATCCTTAAAGTCCACATGAGAGTTCACAATGGAGAAAAGCCTTACACCTGCCAACAGTGTGGAAAGAAATTCACTGAAAAAGGAAACCTTAAAGTTCACATGAGACTTCACACTGGAGAGAAGCCTTTCACCTGCCAACATTGTGGAAAGAGTTTCACTCAAAATGGAGTCCTTAAAAAACACATGAGAACTCATACCGGAGAGAAGCCTTACACATGCAAACTGTGTGGAAAGAGTTATAAAGCAGAAATAAGCTTTAGGTGTCACATGCACATTCACACTGGAGAGAAGCCTTTCACATGTGATCAGTGTGGAAAGACTTATACACGTAAAGAAACCCTTAATTCCCACAAAAGAGTTCACTCAAGAGAGAACATATGTCATGAGTGTGGAAGGAGTTTCCCTGACTTGAAACGTCTTAATAGGCATGTAATAATTCACTCTGGAGAGAAGCCTTTCAAATGCCAGCTGTGTGAAAGGAGCTTCCGACTCAATAAAGAGCTGAAGACTCACATGAGAATTCACACTGGAGAGAAGCCTTTCGCATGTGATCAGTGTGGAAAGAGTTTCAGGCATAAAGTAACTCTTAATAAACACATAGGGATTCATTCAAGAGAGAACTGTTTCAAATGTCATCAGTGTGGACAAAATTTCACAGACAGGAAACAGCTTAAGAAGCACGTAATAATTCACACTGGAGAGAAGCCTTTCACATGTCTTCAGTGTGGAAAGAGTTTCACATATCAAAGAGACTTGAAAAGTCATTTACAAAGTCATTCTGGGAAAAAAAAGTGTGACAAGAGGTTTAGAAAAAGGAGCAATTTCAAACATCACCTGCTCATTCACTCTGGTGGAAGGCGATTTAATTGTGATCAATGTAATAAAAGATTTATTTTGCCATTACACTTACGGATACACCTGAAAAGTCATGCGGATGTGAGACCCTATTTGTGTTTCTTGTGTGGGAAGAGTTTTAAATGGCTCAGCAGTTTAAAATGGCACCAGAAAATACGTTTCTGTGTAAAATTAAGGCTTCGTTCACACCACAGCTAAGTGTGGGCCAAATTCCCCCTCAAATACAGTATATTTGGTGAGGCTGTTCACATGACATTTTAAATTTGGCCCATATCAGATATTTATCTGATCAAGTGACACTCCTGTTAAACTTGACCATGTATTTTATTTCCATCCTCTAGTTCTTTATAATTTGCCTCATATAAGATTAATACTTTGGAATCAAAATATTAGATAAATGAACTTTTGTCTTACTGTGAAATTCCACAATGAAAATGGACGCTTTTAAATAAAAGGATACAAGTGAATGAAATAATTGCACTGCATTTTTTGATTGATTTTTAGTGAGAGAATGCTTAAACTTAAACTTGTTATATATAGCAGAATATATATATATATATATATATATATATTTGTCTTTTATAAGAAGTTTCTCAGCATGAGATTGTCGAAATGTTAGGAACATTTTTATTTCTAAAAAATTAAATTTTGCTAATTAAAAAAATACCTACCTTTTGACTCCTTGCTATAGTTTTGGACTTACAAGTCTTTACTTGTGTGTATGTCACACAGAAAAAAAACATGCCTTCAATAATTAGGGCCAGATTTACTAACTGCTTATTAATAATAACTTAAAACAAAGATGTCAGACGATTTTGAAGTTGGAGGAGAAAACGGGAGAAAATGAGATGGAATTTTTCGCCCTTCCCTGCCTTTTTTAACTGGAGTACACAGACAGATGGATGACGTGACGCGTGGCGTTTCCAACGTGATGACGTAATCTCTGGCGCGTCGCAGACCAGCACAAGACAAACAATTGTGGTTAAAAAGTATATAAATGTTTTTGTTTTTTTTAGAAAATGACTATCGTTTCGCTAGAAAAGACCCTATTCCTCAGCTGGGAACGTGCAGAGCCGTTTGAAGCACTTCATAGCCCTTTGAAACTGCATTGATTTGGACTTCAAAACGTTGGTTGCAATTGAAGCCCATTGTGTGGAGAAAAATCCTGAAATGTTTTCCTCAAAAAACTAAAAAAAAAATTCCACTGAAGAAAGACATGAACATCTTGGATGGCATTGGGGTGAGTCAATTATCAGGAAATTTTCATTTTGAGGTGAACTAATCCTTTAAGTAAAAAAATTATTTCATTTATTATAATTCTGACTCTTGTCCTAAATTAACTGCACTTCTGACTCCGGGTCTTAAAACGATACTCCACCGGTTTTTCATATTAAACTATGTTATTCCCTTAACTAAGACGAGTTGATACATACCTCTCTCGTCTCAGGCGTGCACTCAATCGCTCTGTCTTGCGGTGAAACCTTGTTAGCACTTAGCTTAGCTCAGTTCATTCATTAGGATCCAAGTAGAGAAGCGACCAAACACCTTCATGTTTTCGCTATTTAAATACAGTTACACGAGTAGTGTAACTCGACCAAGTATGGTGACACAAAATAAAACGTTGCGCTTTTCTAAGCGTGTTAAGTGGATAACTATAATGTATGGCGGAATACCATAGCAAGTGCTTGGGAGCACTTCGACTCGGCGCATACATATCTCCGGAGAGGGAGAGGGGGGAGAGGATTTTTCACGAGTGTTGATATTACTGCGCCAAGTCGAAGTGCTCCCAAGCACTTGCTATGGTATTCCGCCATACATTATAGTTATCCACTTTACACGCTTAGAAAAGCGCAACATTTTATTTGTGTTTGGTCGCTTCTCTGCTTGGATCCTAATGAATGAACTGGGCTAAGCTAAGTGCTATGAAAGTTTCACCGCAAGACAGAGCGATTTAGTGCACGCACTGAGACTCTTTACATGATTCGGTTCCGGCTGAAGTAGAGCCCGTGCAGCAGGGCAGATGGGTGACAGTTAGGGATCGCCGCTCTAGTCGCGGATCAAAGAACCACTCTTCCGTTCCGATTCCCATAACAAATCGATTTGCCCCACTCAGTGAAACACCCACTGAGAATTCTGTTGATTGTGCCCTGGTAATTGGTGATTCGATCACACGGAACGTGAAAATAGAGACACCAGCCACCATAGTCACATGTTTGCCGGGAGCCAGAGCGCCTGACATCAAAGCAAATTTAAAAGTGCTGGCTAATGCTAATCGTAAATTCTCTAAGATCATTATTCATGTCGGCACTAATGATGTTCGACTCCGCCAGTCGGAGATCACCAAAATTAATATTAAAGAGGTGTGTGAACTCGCAAGTACGATGTCAGGCACGGTAATTTGCTCTGGCCCCCTTCCTGTTCGCAGGAGTAATGAGATAGTTAGTAGATTGTGTTCACTAAATCGCTGGTTGTCTGAGTGGTGTCCGCAAAATAATGTAGAATTCATAGACAATTGGAAAAGTTTTTGGGGCAGACCTGACCTGTTGAAAAGAGATGGTATTCATCCCTCCTGGGATTGTGCTGCTCTTCTCTCTAGTAATTTGGCTCATAGTCTTAGAGCTAAAACATGACAAATTTGGCACCAGGTCAGAAAGCAGACAGACTGGCTAAACCGACCGTCTGCTAGCGGCCTCGCATCACCAAGGTCAGATAAATCCCATCACATAGAGGCTCTTTCACCTAGATATCATCATATAGAGACTGTGTCTGTTCCCCGAATTTGGATATCCAAAAAACGTCAGATAAAAAATTTAATTGATGTTCAACAAAGAAAAAACAGATATGATACAGATGAGCAAATGATAAAGCTTGGGTTGCTGAATATTCGATCCCTTACTTTAAAATCGCTCATAGTTAACTCTCTGGGGTCGGCGGTCTCGCCGGCGATACCAGCTCACTTTTTTCCTTATCAGTGCAAAAGAGACTCAAATTACTCTGTTAATTTTGATCTTACATATAAGTGTTGTACATCATTCGATCCTGTTAAGTTTGTATTTTTTTTGTGGAATCTCATAATAAAAACAAAGTGTTGTGCTTTTCGCCTAATAAAGAAAAATAAACATGATGCGCGTTCTGCGTTCTCTCTGTCAGTGAAGTCCATTCTGAAACGCGTCTGAAAAATCATCTGTAACTCTGCAAATACTCAGTCAAACAGGTATACAGGCACACAGGCATGAAGCCTGAATTATCTTCTTTTAAATGAAGTAATTTATATAAAAAACATTTTTTCTCATTTTATGTAATCTGTACGAAAAGAGAGAGATGATAGTCGTTCTCGTCTCAGCTCATTAAAGTTAATTTGACCACGCCCACGGAGCGCGCGCTCTATTCATAGATGCCACCTACGTCACTAGAAATAGAACGCCGCCATATTGACGACTGATCTCGCCCGGCGCCGCCCAAACTGCCCATTTGAATGAGAGAGAGAGACAGAGATAGATGGATAAAATTTTAATTTTAGGCTCCGATCCTTATTTGTTATTCTTTTGTCCTTTATTATCTGCCCCAGGCTTGCCCCAATTTGCCTTCCATGATATATATATTTATCTTGTGCATAACCCCTCCCCATACAGTGGGGATCGCTTGAAGGCTTTCAAGAGTACAGACGTGTATCAATATGCTGTGGCTGGATGGGTTACAAACGTAAAAGTGCGGCACCTGGCCACCAATGATTTATATTTAATCATGGGGAATGTTGGTATTATAAAAAAAAATTCAAATGTATGATTTTGGTGGTAGTTTGCTCTGACTAGGTAGCGAGTTGTTAGCTAGCTAAGTGGCTAACAGCTGGTAGCTTGCCAGCTGTTAGCCACGGCTTGCGGCTAGCTGTCATTAATCTGGATTAGGCCTGTCGCGATAGTCAATAAATCAATGAATCGCACGATAAAAAATGAGCTCGATAATTTTTCCTGCCGCGATAATTTCCATTGCATGCTTGTTTGTTTTCCTCGTCTCTCTCTCTCTCTCTCTCTCTCTCTCTCTCTCTCTCTCTCTCTCTCTCTCTCTCTCTCTCTCTCTCTCTCTCTCTCTACCAAAGAGACTGGATGACAACACTGTTTAAGACATAAACGACATATTTTACATGAATACTCTCCAAAACGGACATTTAAACATAAAGTTGTGTCTATTTGTCCATTCAGACACGAAACAGAGCTCAATTCATTACTCGCGCGATGTATAGGGCTCTATGGCTGCACGCATCGGGTCGGGTGTGTGCGCACAGAAAGATCAGACATGATACAATATGAGACATTTCTTCTATCCTTTTATTTTGGTATAGAATAAAATACCAGTTCGGGGTTCCTCTTTCGGGTGTTGTTGCAGCCAACTGTACAACATATTGCAGGCATTACTGAGACCGTCAGTCGTCAAGATGGCGGCGCAAAGCTACAGTGACGTCATGTGACCCGAACGAATTCAAACACAAATGCTCTGAGGCGATCCACGCCCACATCAGCTGGATAACCCACCAAAAGAGACTCAGATTTATGACGCTGTGAGGAATAATAGTACTATCTTAATAATAATCCTGGAAAAAATTACCTCAGAAGTAGGCTACAGGTAGTTTCATTTGGAGGAGCAACGGATCCAGCCGAGGAAATAGGTACATGTACCATTCTTTATTTTCAAGTGCTTTGTGCTAATCGCGATATGGAATAGTGTCTGTAAACAAAAAGACTGTTTGAATCGCGTTTTTGTGTGTGAATGAATGAACAGCTTTTACCTAACTATATTCCAATACTGAGATGAGTAAAAATCGACTGAAATATGTTGAAATAAAATATTTTTGTATAAGCAACGTATTAAACTGCAAATTAACATTTATATGTCCTAATCATAAAAACGATATGTTACATATGAACGACAAGATGTCGTTTTTACTGTAAAATACTGCCACATCAAATAAGCTTGTTTGCTAAGATGTTATTATAGTGTTTGTTCGATTGTAAGCTATATTCAAACTAATTAATCCGCAACTGTGAAATATGTATGATAAAATGTATACTTTAGTATATAATACAAAGAAAGATTACATTTGAAATATAGTTAAAATTTTAATTGTTGTTGTAATTGTAACCTTTTTATTAAAATAGCAAAAATATATGTAGGCTACATATAAATAAATCTTAGGTAAATCTTAAAAGCT